CAATATCAATAATTTATTATAGCTTTCTAGGAAAAAATTAACTGAAAATATAAACAATTTTGTTGGCAGGCATCAAATTATTGAAAAGCAGAAATAAATTGTTGGTCATTTCATTATTATTTAAATTAATAAATAATTAGAAAATTAAAGTGATTTATGAAAATGTTAATTTTTCATGGAAAATATAGACATAATATACACAAATATATACGAGTAAGTTTATGTAAGTACAAATTTCGTATTAATAATTAAAATTTCAAAATTTTAATAAACTATAAAAATATCATATTTTAAATATATTTCAAACTTTGTACTTTGAACTAAGCTACTAAACTACTAAATCAATTAATATTAATCAAACTATGCTATTTATTAATTTCAACTTTTGACTTTTTAAGAATATAATATTTCCTCCTAGGAAAAATATTTACTTACTCTAAAAATCAAAATATTATACTACAATTGAGGTGCTCAGTATATTATTGGCCTACTTGAAAAAATAATATTTCGAGTAAATTGCGATTGAAATGTTTAAATATTTAATTTTTAAGAAAATTGTTAAAGCACAAAAACGTACTTATATTATAATAGATTGAAAAGAGGAGTCAACTAAGTATTTTGAAAATATAGAACAATTCTTTAAGCCATTACAGATCTATTTGAACATAATATAACTCATTTTTGCAAAGAAATGTTGCATAGGTCACCAATCTGTTGAGCGCCTCAATTATACAATAATAAATATGCAGTATCATATAATTTTTTATGAAAGTATTCATTTCACATCTTCAAAAAAAAAAAAGGATCTACAATAAGGATATGGATGCGCCTTCAAAAGAAAAGATTTTTCATATTTATGTTTTTAAGTTCATATGTAAGTAAATTTAAAAAATTTTTGTATAATAAATGATAATATTTTCGATTTTAAAAATATTTGATATTCGTTTTTTACTAAACTATTTAAAATTATTGTTTATAATAGGGCAGCTTTGAAAATTAAATCTTCTTATACTCGTATTCAATTGCCTCGGAATAAATCTTTAAAAAATAGGTATTCCAAACATGTTCATACATATTATGTGGTTACTGCATAAAGAGCAAAATCATTAACAAAGCTAAAACAAAAACAAAGAAAAAAACAATAACATTAATAAATAATATGGCTAATACGTAATACAAAATTAGAACCATTAATTAAAATTTTTTGTTTATTAAAACAAAAAAAATATAAAAAAAAGAATAAAAAACATAAAAAGGGCTGCGGTTAAATTAATGAAAATTTCATGTTTATACAAAAAATCGCAAAATACATAAAATATATTATAGAATTATAAAAAAGTTATGGTTAAATTTGTAGACAAGTATAATTTACAAAATACAAATATAGATATAATAAGTAAATAACATTCTTTTAACCTTCTTCTCTTTAATTTTCGAATTTTTAACAACCTGATATTTTTGATGTTTATTTCAACAAAATATATATATATATATATATACAGATGTATGTATGTAAATTTTTTCTAGATATTAAAATTAAAATTAAAACTTCATTTTTCAGTTTTCATTTTTTCATCTTATTCTTTAATATTTTTATATTTCGTATTAAATTTTAAACCTATTCAATTATTCATAATTTTAACGTAAAATATAAACATACATAATGGTACTTATAAAAAAAATTAAAATTTATTTATTTATTTTATTTTTTTTAATTTCAACTTCATTGGTCTTTTCTTCTTTACGTTTATTTCCACTTCATATCTTTTTATTGAAATTTTTAAGAATATTCAAATTATAAGAACCATAAAATGAACATCCAACATCAAGTTATCGAATAAAAATTTTGAAAAACAAAAAATTATTTTATTAGTCTATCCATCTTTATTTGACTAGCCTATAGTCCAACTATTTTGAAATTCAATATATTTTGAAGAAAACTGTTTTCAAAATATTTTGAACTGCCTTGAACAAGTTATAACCCAAGTGTTATACAAGTTATTATATATGAATGAAAAAGTGTTAATTAAAATTATTTATTAATTTCAATATGCATTTAGCTTAATTCCTTAAGCAAGGAATTTAAATTAAATATTATATTAAATTATTTTAAAAACTAATCAGCAAAGACTTAAAATTCTTTTTCTAATAGTCCACAATTACAATCATCCATATTCTGTTAGTCGCATAACTTGATGTGATTGGGAATTGTTATTCAAAATGTTTTTTTTTAATTTTCTAAATAAAATCAATTAAAAAATTCGAAGTTCTATACTAAAAAACAAAATACTTTTCAATATCTCATTTGTACCTCAAGTGACATGAGTAATCGAATATGGGTGAATATATTTACCAAACAAAATTAAGATTCCTATTAAAATATTAAATCGATCTATAATATATTACAATTATTTTTAAACGAAAATAAATCAATCCACTTAGGATCATAATAAAAAATCTTATTTTTACATAAATATTTTTGAATTATTTACATAATATTCTTGTTCTTCAAGCTTTTTAAACTTTAAATTTTCTTATAGGCAATTCTTATATAAAATGTTCTTTTTAGTTGTTGAGTATTTTTTGTTCTTTTTTCTTTAAGTCCTTTATTTTTTTAACATCCTTAAAATACACGAATAAAGAATGCCTTGATTACAAAACAATAATTCTAAAGCCAACTGATATCTTGACCCTTTTTTTTTTATTATCCTGCACATGAACACTATTTATGTATGTATATATGCAAATATTAACGTAATAGGTATTGTGCTTACTCGTGTTAGAACAACATACAAAATACACTTAATATAAATAATGTACCTTTTTATATGTGTACAATGAAGTGAAAAAATAAAATTTTCAAGTAGCTACGTAATAAAAAAAAAAAAAAAAAAACAAATTTTTCATTTTCAAACCTGAAAAGATGAAAATTTTCCAAAAAAAAATTATGAATTTTTCCTTGTTATAACTTAATTTTGTCATATTTTTATGCTAGCAAAAACGATACAAAAAGATAAAAAAAGAAAAAAAGAAAAGGGAATTCAAAAGAGTAAAGAAAGCAAGTAAAATAATGAAAAACGAAAAGGTCGTGTTACAGGACGATGACTTTGCCGTCAATCATACACCTTTGATTTAACAAAAAACATACTTAGAAAAGAATGAAATTTAATAAAAATATAATTTTTTATATTATTCTTTTTTCTTTTCTTTCTTTTTAGCCTTATTTTTTAAAATAAGCCTTGAGGATTTTTTTGAAGGATTATTGTATTAAATAGGATGAAAAAAATAAAAAATACTTCGTCTGATTTTATTAGTGCTCACTTATAAAATCTGCAAATGAACTCAAAAACAAAAAAAAAATATTTGGAGAAATGTGAAAAACAAAATGAAAAACTTAATAATAATATGTAAACATTATCAGTATTATATAAAGGTCAAAATTTGTAATATCGCAAATTAAAAAATATTTATAAAAACTATAGCATTATTTAATTAATCCGCATATTTTTACGGATGTAACCATTTGAATTCAGTAAGTTATCTTTGTATTATTTTTAATAAATGTGTTTTTTTTAAAATCTAAATTCACACCGTATTGTTAATTTTCTTAAACTTTTTTTTCTCGCAGTTCCTCTTAACCAACCTGACTTGTTGTAAAGGGCTTATAAAGCATTTTCATATTTTACGCAACTGTTCTATCTACCACAAGTGAACTGATTATTGTTTGGTTGAACGGTCTTAATTTCCTGTTTCTATCGTTTGCAAGTGAAAGATCAAAAAAGTAGACCGATAAGTGTGACAAATCTCCGAAAGTTTTTCATTTTCTTTACTTATACTCGTATCAGTACCATTGAATTAAATATCACGGAATATGAAAAAATGTCTATCTTAAATTCGTGCTATTAAAGTAAATGCCGTATATTTCGATATTTTATTAATGTAAAACAAACATTTAAGATGCTAGGCTTTAAACGGTTCAGTTTTAGAGCATAGGCGGCTTTAACCTATTCACTTTTACGGTATTATTACTATTATACATAATTTTTACTTTTTCTATACAAAATTTACTATTTTATTACATCTAAATTTTGTTGTTTTTCCTTATACTACAGTAGCAATAGTTTAATGATTGAAAGGTCAAAAGTTTTTGTGAAAACCAAATAACCTACTTTTTTTGTAATAATTTCTTCATTAGTACAATTATCATAGTAATTGTTTAAAAGAATTAATGAAAAAATTATTCTTCCTGCTTACAATATTTTTGTAATTTTAAAATTATTGTACAGGAATTTGTACCACATTATTTGTATTGCTACTTTTTTTCGTATACTATATAATATTAAAGTATATGTACTTATTAAGAAATTTAGTAAACCCCCATACGTGTCATATTTTTATGGACATATATTAAATTTATGAAAAAATCTGTACATTTACTTTAATAATAATCGTATAATTGATTTACTCAATATTGACCTCTATTTTTAAATTTAAGGATACAAATTTTTTATATCAAAATAAGTTGTGTGAATAAAGAAGATAAAAACTTGACAAAGAAAAGATCTACTTTTTTTATTTTCTTATTTGAACTCTAATAAAACCAAAAAAAATTACTTAATATAAAAATTATTAGAAAAAAGATAATAGCAACTGAGAAAAGTGAATAGATATAAGCTTTAATAAATGCAAAATTTTGATCATATAGCCTGTTTAAGATAAAAATATTGAGAAATAATTAATAATATTGAGAAATACCAATGGATTTAAATGAGGCAAAGAATTTATACAGCAGTAAATGGTATGTGGATATAAAAAAAATCTTGCAAGAGCTTAAGTAAATATTTTCTTATCAATAGCGTTATAGTCCAACCTAGATATAAAGTATTTGAATATTGGAAACAAATCTGAAATTTGCTATATTTATTAAGTTTTAATTTGATCAAAATCAAAATAGATAAATGCATAAATAAATATGCATAAATGTATACATAATAATTCTTTCGAAATTTATTTAAATTTTTATTAAATATAAGATAATCATAAACTTATTAAAAAGTAAAATATTTTGAGTTCTTAATTCTACAACTATAAGACCATGATACAAAAAAAAATTAATTAACTGTTAGACGCTTACATCTTTATCTGGAATTACATCAGTTTGACTTGACGGTTTTAAATCTGCAAACAACTTATTAAGATTTATAGTACAATAAGCTGATTTTTCTAAAATATTATCAACGGTTTCTTTCAATGTGTTGTAAGCTACTTCAACATCACCGGGTACAGTTACATCTAAAACAAAAAAAAAGAAAACAAAATTTAATGCTAAATAAATTTTTTGGTTTTATAAATCAAAAAAACATTCTTACTTTTATGCTCATGATTACTTAAGTCAAATATATACTGAAAATAACTAATCTGATTATATAGATCTCTTTCAGAATACGCTCTTATTAAAACTCCAGTATTGCAAACAAAACATATTGGACGATTATTAATTGCAACATGCAATAATTTTCTTGTATTATTATTACAAGTGGGCTCATCGCAAATCATCCAATTATCATAAAAACGTTTAATAAATTCACGTATCGACAAAATCATTTGATTACGTATTGAAACTAAATATTGATATGGAGCTGTGCTACAATCTACATTTGAACATTTTTGTAAAACTGGTATATAGGTTTTCTCGTGAGGTCTAAAAGCTGAAGCAATAATATTCACAGTTTTACAATTATTGCAAATAAATTTGAATTTTTCACATTGACGATACTTTTGTAACGATGTTTTAGTAACAGCTTCACCAGTACCAATTTCCGGTTCATTTGATTGATGAGTTCTACAAAAAACAAAAAATTTTTTTTTAGTATTGATTTTTTATGTACTACAAAATTTAACAAGTAAGAAAAAAAATTTACTTATGTCCTGTTCTAAATTTCTTTGGATCTAAGCCAAGACATTCAGCAATTCGAGCGCCATCTGTTCCCTCTAATGGTTCACATAAACGCATTACAACTGGATGAATTTGCTGTGCCAAATAATAATTAATATCAACTTTAAGGTTTTCATTTGTTTTCAGTTCATCTAAATGGTAAGCTCGTTGCATTGCAGCATTTTGCGTGCCATCTTCGCAAATAATATACGACACCATATCACCCTTCTTATACCGTTTATTTTTGGTTTCGTTCATGCGAAGAGCTACTATTACGTGAGGCAAATTTGATAACCCACTAGAATAATCTTTCGGAGCTTTTGTCAATTGTTTTGTAATAGTCAATATAGGCAAAGGATATATTTCATTACATATATTTTCTTTAAGTTTTTCTAAATGTGAATGTATCGCTTCAATTTTTTCATCATGTTGTTTGTCTGAAAGTATTTCTTCCAAAACGATTTTACCCGCCATAATTGCTATTTGAGACCAATCGCGTCGGACAATATCTAATCCTTTAAATTCCTTTTGATAAACCAGTTCTCCTTTAGAATTTTTAGAAATCGTAACTGCTGCATATTTTTTCTTTTTTAAAAGTAAAAGTGTTTTAAAAACTCCATCGATATCAAGTTCAATTTGTCTATAAATTTTATTTACTGTTTGCTTAATGCTATTTCCAATTTTAAAAACTTGTTCGTAATCTGTTGAATTTGTATTAACCATAATGGAATCAGTATCGCCGTACACGACCTCAAAATTTAATTTTTGTACAATGCTCTTTGTGTTCATTAAAATTTCCCTGCCTTTTAATGTCACCAATGAAGCCAAATGTTGTGCGAAAAACCGAGATTGAGCAAATCCAAGGCAACCATACATTGAATTTGCAGTTAATTTTAAGGCCAATTGCCTTATATTGTATTGCATTTTTAAATCAGAATCCAAATCTTGATTTGCCATTAATTTTTTAACTTCTCTCCTGCTTTCGACAAGACGACGAATTTGACGAGGTAAAATTCCCTGTTCTATAGATGATTCTGGAAGAGGAGGAATTTCTCCAGGTACTTCTGGCTCAGGAACAGTTGTAAAACAAATATTAAATTCCTGAATAATGCTTGGATACAAGGAATTAAAATCCATTAACAGAATATATTTTTCATAAAGTCCTTTTATTGGTTCTAAGACAAGACCACCAGTATATGCTGCCTTCTTTCTTGTTGCCCCTAGATCCAAGAACTAAATTAACATGAACATTTAAAATACAACATTTTTTACCTTGATTGTTTTTGTTGTCAACTGTTACATTTCTGTCATCTTCTTCTAGTTGTGCATGAGAATTTTCCCAATGTTTTTTCTTTTTATCAGGTACTATATAATTCTTTTCATAAAAAGCATGAAGCAAAAGAAATTCATTTCTTTCAGATCTTCCACCTTGCAGGGTTCGAGACATTAAATTACCACATATGGTAGTAATTTGTAAAGCTAAAGGCAAGACATTCATTTCACACATCAACTTTAATATATACGAACAATCTTGCATTATCAATGTAATAAATTTCAGTAAACTTTCACTATTTTGGTACATTCCAATAATATCATCGTTTGATAGTTCTACTCTCTCGTTTTCTTTCAGTTTTAAAATAGTTTGACATAGTGTACTTAAGTCATAACTTCTAGATTTAATCAACTCTTCCGCTGATGTCTTAACATCACAAATCATTCTTCCATTAAAATAATCTTTCCACTTTTTTCCAATATTTTGTGAAAATCTTAAACGCCCAAAGCGTGACCATGTTGGAATTTTTAATGCAGATACCCGATCGCAAATTAAATCCAACTGGCAATCGTTAACATCGTGCATAACTATTAAATCTGGATCAATATTTTGATAAATCGCTAAAAACCAACTCAATAAAGCTCTCTCGGAATCAAATTTCGAAGCTTTGATTGAATTAAATTTAGAAAATTTTTGGTGAAAATCAAATGGCCATCTTAAATTTGCAGGACGAGTTATTCCGCAAAAATGTCTATTGAATAATTGATTACTGGGTGGTTTGTCAATATAAAACTTATCATTGACTAAACAAGAAATTATTGAAACCTCATTTTTATTGGTTTTAGGATTAACCACAGATTTAATATTTAGCGCAATCACAGTCATTGGCGGAGGTGGAATTAATTTTTCCTCCAAATGTTTAATTGAAGATGACGAACAAAATGCTTCAACTTTACACCAACTTAAGGGATTGTTTACTATAATAAAATTGTTGAGAGTCAACCAACAAGGTCCTTTAATTTTACATTCAAGCAAAAATGTTTCCAAAAATGGTGTATTTGTCCCAAATATATATGATATAGTTTTATAGACCGCTTTCAAATCTGGAGTTGGTTTTTTGCCATCGTATCGAATCTAAAATATTTATAAAATATTTATACTAGCACCATAGTATGTGCAGAAACAAAAATTACTTCTATATATTCACAAGTTTCAGGAACATCAACCCCTGGTAAATGAAAAGCAAAATTTTTTGTAACTCTCTCCGATTTAAATTCTTTTATTCCCAGTTTCGGTGCAATTTCAGAAGCAAATTCATTATAAACATCTGTTAAGGTAACTTTTTGTTTAGTCGGCTCTAAACTTATCATGTCGTAGTGCTAAAATGAGAATGTTCATATAGTGATATGATTATTCTTTAAACTTACATATTCCCTAGGCAATAAATATAAGACTCTTTCAATATTTCCAACATGTACACAAATCGAGTTATATTTTGTTTTATCTTCAAGAGAAACTTTTCCAAATAAAAACACTTCTCCAGGTCTTTTAACAAAATCTTCCCAAGCATCCCAGTACCAAAACCTGAGAGAAGTTTTATCAAGCTTTTCCCATATTATGTCATCGGTTTTATTATCAGAAGTTTCGGGGGTTTCTTCAAATTTACACGCATTTTCCCAATTACTCAATAATTCCTTCAGTTCTTTTTCATCTTGTTCAGCGTTAGTTGTTGCAACGCTATTACTCTTCTCAATTTTTGGTTCATCCCAGATTTCATCGTGAGGAATAAAATCTTGAAACATTTCTTCATAATTTTTTGTATCATTTTCTTTTAAATTATCATTCTTATTGTGTTTCATGGAATCTTCCTCCATTGATTTTGGTGAAACTAACGTTTTAGATGTGATTGGATCTAAATTGTTATCGTGCTTTAATTCATTTTGTGTTTCCAGTGGTTTCGCAACTGATGGTACTGCCTTTGGTTTTAAAATACTTTCAACAATTTTATCGTCATCACTTTTTGCAATCTCATCTTTTTCATTTGAAACTTTTGTCAAAGTTTTAATGAAATCATCCATATGCTTTTTTATGTTATCGCTATGATTATCGCTTCTCTTGATTATCTTAGGTTTTATTGTATTATTCTTTTCACCAGTATCCATTTCGCATAATATGTTAGCTAAAGCATTATCCTTCTCCAGATTTATTAAATTTTCATTCTGGCTTTTCGGTTTCGAAACTTTTTTTGTAAATAAACTGCGGTGAGAGTTTTTCAGAGGTCCAAGAGTTGCATTTTTTTTACGTTTTTTCCCTTTGTCTTTGGAGTTTTCCCTTCCATTGGAATCATCAGATTCGATATCATCAAAAATATCTCGACCATCCTCAGTGTAACCAGTACCATCTTCCCCAAAAATAAAATTCAATTAGCACAATATTTTAGGTAGTTTATTATATTTAACATACCATCCTCAATCCAATCACTTCCTAAATGAGACGTCCTTTTTAAATATTCTTTTTCGTCAACAAGATCATAAACATTTTGAACTTCTTCACTTAATTCTGCCTTATGCTTTTGTCCATGTTGCTTTAGATCTTTAAGTTTTTGTAAAGCAGCAAAACGTCCTTGTTTATCAAATTTTTGCCTCTTTGCGCGAGGAAGAGCTGAAAAGATATTCTTTCAATTGTTGTTTCCTTAACAAAACAATTTCTTACAAGGCGAATCTGCCATTATTATTCAAAATATATTCTGTTCTAAGAAATAAAAAATTCTCAATTTGTTTAATTTTAAAACAATAATTATAAAAGTTTCCAGCTCCTACTTCAATTCTAAATTTGAAAGGCTATATAGAAAATACTTCAGAATTTTGGCGGTAATTTTTTTTTATTTTTATTTACAAAATGTCATTCTATTGAAAATATTTTAAAGAAAATGAAATAGAGACATCTAGTATTTTTTCATATAACTAAATATGAATATTGCTTTACAAAAATAATAGGTTTGCGTTTATGATAAAACAAATTTAACGAAACTTCTTTTGAATCGGTTGATGTCGTTGCTAAATTTCAAAGTTTTAAAATCACGACTGACATTTTTCTTATGTCAAGATTATCTTTTAGTAGTAATGTGAATTGCGCTTGTAATCAACTAATTCTTTTTAAAATTCTCGAAAGAATTAAAAATGAAATTAAAATTAAATAAATGAATTTGCATTTAACGATTTGCTATCTCCTATTTCACGATATTTTTTGTTACCGTTATTGTTTCCTATAAAAATTTTTCAGTTAGATCTTTCGGAACCATTGATTGTTTCCTAAAATGAATGACACGCTAGTTTTGCCGGATGAGATAGAAACGATTTATTGTTAATATATTATGTATTTCTGTTTATCTGCGAATAAGTATTTTAAGCAATAAATAATAAAAAAAAAATATTTCAAAAGTGTGCTTAAGGCTAAAACATTCATTTTTTTATAGCATCCATTCGTTGTTCCAGTCGCTTCACTTCTTTATTAATAGTTTCCATATTGTCTGCAAGGCCTGATTGAACACCTTGTAGTAACATCTTATTATGTGCTATGCCATTCGTAATTAAATTTTGAGTTCCTTCTAAATCAGCTATTATCTTAGTAAAGTTGGTAGCTGAAATAAAATTATAGTTAAAAATATAATTTGTTTTTTTATATTTCTTGGGTATAGCTACCATATTTATGTAAAGATTCTAAAGATTGCATTCTTTCTATAATATCAGGCAGAACATGTATTATAGGTTCAGTTTCTTTAGCAATATCATATAATTCTAAAATTTTCTGATCAAATTGAACATCATGATTTGTTGCAGCAGTTTTCTCTTTTACGGTATCCAATTTTGTTAACACATTACCTAGACGAGCTTCGATCAAATCTATTTGATTTGGTTGTAACATAGCCGCTTTTGTTGTTAATTGTTGGACAATATCAATTAAATTCGTTGTTCCAAATGTGGAACTTAAACGAGCTATTGTTTCCGGTTTAGCACCAACTAATTGTTCAAGATTGTGCAGCTCGTATTCCAATTGTGCAATTCGAGTTGATTCAGCTAAACTCATAGGAGGAAGTTTAGTTTCAGTTAGAATTCCACTCTTTTTATATTCATCTATTTTCTCGACCAAACTTTTAAATTCTTGGTCAGCTTCAAGAGCGAGTTCTTCTTTTCCCAAAATTTGTTCCAATCGTAAACTGTCCAAAACTTTTTTCGAAGTATTTATTACAGTAACAACAGCTTCAAAAGATTCTTGTTCGTCTTTTGAAACGTGTTTATCATTTTGTAACGCAGTTATTTCATCTAGCAATTCATTAATTTCACATTGTATTCTTCGACATTTTTGTATTGGTGTTTCTTTTTCACCTTCACCTACTAGAGCATATTCATTTGTCCAAGCATCATATCCCTTCCGATGACGTTTAATAATACTGTCTGAAAAATCTACATTGCCAACAAGATTTTTTCCTTGGAATTTTTGGGCAGAATCTTTTGTAGAAATATGCAATCTTTCAATACTATCGTTTGGCTGCTCTTCTTCGTAATATTCCGCTGTATCATTTTCAGGTACATCGGGTGTTTCGTATAAATCAGGTTGGTCATATGCCTAAAAATTGAAATAAAAACCTGCATTTGATTTTATATCAATTAAAACTTACAATCCCTGGTAAATTAGCAAATTTTGGATCAGCCATTTCTTCAAATTTTAACAAAATTTTTATTAAAGTTGAAAAACTTTAAGTACTCTAATAAGTAAGGATGTGTATATGAATGTAAATTCTGATTTTTATTAAAATGATTAATGAAATGAATGCTGTCACCGTTTCGTTTTTATTATTCCATTCCAGTTTCAATATTTTATTATGCTGTCAAGTTGACAATCACTGTATGGCTACCATGAAAATATAATTGTAGTGGATTTACTCTTATTTTGGGAAATTTTCTTACTTGATACTATATAATCGAACCTTTGTTTTCGATACAAGCAATATAAATATCAGAATATCGATACTTACACATATAAACAGTACATCGTGACCTCCCTATTTTTTTTTTAAAAAGCTGTTGTTTTGAAAGTTGAATTGTATTCAAGAAAGTTATTGGAATAATTTATATATTTTTGCAGTTAGTAGAATATTGAGATTATTGAATAAATTTTTGCAGTAATAAAATCTACAATAAACAAATATAAAATAAAGAAAATAGTGGAAAATAGTTTAAGATTTCGATAGGTGGGCCAATCCACTTTTCAGTTCCAGTTAAAATAACATTGTCAAGAAAGCAAGTTCCAGATTGCTATGCAAGTATGTACATACATATGTACTTACATACATATATATATAGATAGCTAAATTAAACAAGAAATTCTAATACCTAATACAAATAATAATTTTTTGTTTTGTTTTTTTAGAGAAACTTGAACAACTCAAATCTCGGTAAGTAGATATACATATGTACATATGTATAAGATTAAGAATAATATTATTCCTACAAGACTTTTATTTGGATTGCAATTGTCACTGTAAAAATCATTTTTTGCTATTGGAAACCGTAGATTTGCTATTGAAGAACCGTGGGAACTTTGGTGCTGCATTATTTATTAACAATATGTAGGTGCCTAACTATTAGAATGAAAATTGTCTGTACTGAGAAGACTCGTTTTTTATAGGGCATTAAATTAGATTATTAAAATTTCATATACACATCTATATTTAGGTGTTGTAGGACGAGTAATTATTTATAAAGGAGATATCAGGTTTGAAATAAATTTAATTTCTTTTCAAAATTTACAAAAGTTGTGTCTTTAAAATATCGCATTCACTATCACTCCACCTGATTGAAAAAAAAAAAAACAATAATTTTTCTTGTTCACTTTGGTTTCGTTCACCTGTTTTCGTTTTTCATCTATATTTTCCTTAAAAATCCTAATTTTTATTAGTGAAAAATTTCGATTGTAAAAGATAAAAGGAATCGCTTGAGAAAAATATTTATTGTTTTGGTAAATTATTGTGAACAAACGATTGAGTTAATACAGATTTTTCTTGGGCCTATATCCTATAACAAATGATGAACAATGAAAATGGAATCAATGATTTGAAATAATTTGTTTTCTTTTCTAACCTTTATTATGTTCTTAAAAAAATTACAACTTTTTTTTTAGATTTAATTTTACTTTGACTTTAAAATTGCTTGTATTGGCGATCATTATTAGATGGTGTTGAAGAAGAAGAAGAAAATAAATTAAAGAAAAACGAATGAAAGTGGCTGTATGAAGTGTTTTTTTTGTAAGCCTATAACTTCACGGTTAATTTAATGTTGAAAGTTATGAAAAGAATCAAGATATAGAATACCGAAAATTAATCCCAACTTCAAATAGAGGAATTTATCCTTTTAGAAAATTATTTGTTAACATTATAAAACGCTACCTACTTGAATGCTTGGGAAATTGCGAATTACAAAAATGTGGTTATAATAGAAGATAATAAGGTTAAGCGTGTTGCATTTAAACATTATACAAAAACAACTGGTTATTTGTTTGTAGGCTTTATTATTTGCAGGAATCACATGAAGAATAAAAATAAAAATTGCTATTTAAACTGGAGTTTGTTATAAAAGCTGTAAATAAAAGCGAGACATTCCTATACATAATGATTTCCTAAAATTATTCTGTTGCAAAGAAATTTAACTTCAACAATTTTACTTAAGCGAAAACCAGCTGTTTAAGTATCAAAAATAATTGCCTCAGAACATTAGATTAGTAGATGATATTTTGTGAATCAAAACACAAAATTTAAACTTTGAAAAAATATTTTCATTTAATCACACAAACAGGATGTCTTTTATAATATTAAAAACTTTTCATATCCTTCAAAATTAAAGGTGTGCGTGCAATTAGTTCAATTGGTTATCTACTCGCAATACTGTACCATTAATAAAGGAATCATACTAAAGTATATTTTGGAAAAATATTCATGTACACTTACGAGTACATAGGTAGTTATCTTTTGTAAGGTTTTTATATAGCTTAATAGATAATTTTTTCCATTAGCCTAAGTTTTAAAAGCGTAGTAGCAATAAAAAATATTTTAGTAAAATGACATTATAAACAATTTATTAAATTGTAAGAATTTTTTCATAATTTCTGAAAGAAGTCCTATAATTTCAGTTTCACGTATAAAAAACAAAATCTGGTACTTCTTAATCTTCATCATTAAATTTGTTGAAGGGAGTTAGAAAAAAAAAATGGAAGATGTCACATTAAAATATAAAAAATACGAATATAAATTAGGACACTGGATAAATTTCAATACAAGGTATAATTTGATGACCTTTTTAATAATTATGATGATGAATGTAATAAATATTTTTGGCCAAGATTTATATAAATGTAGGAGTAAAGAAGAAATATTTTTTTTTTGGTTATTTGATAAAATTCTACATTTTAAATGTAAAACTTTTCTTATGCACAGTTTTACATTTCCGGGATTTTAATGGCCCATACAATTGCGAACTGAATAAGAAGAACAAAAAAAGTCTATATTACTTGCGGTAATTTATTTTAAAATATCCATTTTTCATCCACATTTTATTTAACATTTACACTCGTTGTGTATACTTGTCGTTATTTACACTGTATTTCTATGTTACCTGCACTATATTTTTATCTAAAGTAGTTGGACGTACCAAATTTCTTTGGAAAGCCTATACAACATTGTATGAATAAAAAAAAATGAAAGTAATGAATGAAAGTGATATTTTTGCAAAAGACGTGGACTAATCTTATAGAAAATAATATAAGAAGCAAAATAATATATAGAAGAAAACCTGCTAAATTATTTTATTATTCAAACTTTCATTCATTTATGTACATAATAATAATTATATAATTACATTTGTTCTGGTTCTCACTTTGATAATAAGAATTGCAATATGTGCATGTACATACAAACAATGTACGTATGTTTTAATAATTTATGAATGATGTTATTTTTCTTCTACCCAAATTTATGATTTATGCATGAATGTAAAATAGTTTTATATTTTTTAAAAGAAATTATTCTCACAGTAATTTTTAAAAAAAAATTTCTGTGAGAATAATAATTTATTTGACCATATGGCTTTTGTAATATTTTCTAGTACACCTATTATTACATCCATATTATTTGTATTATAATATGAATTATTTAAAATAATTATACTATTATATTAGTTTTTTTTAATTAATTTCATACTTCTTTTGTTCTCCATATAAGTTTGCTATTGACAACCTAACAATCTGTGATTAAACAAATGGCAAGTATAGTGAAATATTTTAGTATGCATTTTTTAATTATAAAATTTTTAAAGCTCATAAATTAATTAATAAAATATTAGTTATGAAACTTGTGATTAAATCAAACATTAATAAAATACAACTTAATATTTTCGAGCCTTCAGTGTAGAAATTTTGTGCATAAAATTTATTTTCAAGAATTTTAAATTTTAAAGCTTATACAAAAATTCAGAACTGATTTAAAATTTTTATTGTAATTACAATAAAAAATATACTAAAAATTTTTTACGGGCTTTTGCTTTTTGTGTAAAATAAATTAAAGTTTTTTTGGTAAAAAATTAAAGTTTTTTCTTTTAAATTGCCAAAATAAAATTAAAAAAAAACGGGATAAAATCAATATACGGATTAATGATTTAATTCTTCTTTAAAAAAAATTATTAGCAGATTTCCCAAAAAATTAAAAAAAAAAATGTTTTTATTAATTTCACTCTGTTCTGTCCCTGCTAGAACCGCATTTCCCTAGAATGAAATTTGTTTTCACCTCCCCCATAATCTCATACATCTTTTAATATTGTTTTTACTTCTAAGCAGATCCAATAAAAATATATGCATATAATGCATGTATGTGTATGTTTTTTCATATTCCCCTGTTATATCGTTATAACAGACGGACATTTAAAATTTAAAATTTAAGGAACAATTAAAATTCAAAATGTCCACACCACAAAGGGACAAAATAATTAAGAGAGAGTAGTGTAGGAGTTAGAGAATGCGTACTACCTATAAGTAATCAATAGTTATTTTTAACAGTAAGTTACTCGTTTTAATTAGGTTAAGTAGGCTAGGTTAGGTTAGGTAGTATAAGCTTTAATATTATTAACATAAAAAATATTGGTTTTTCTTTAGTAATTTTTCAATAAACCAAAAATTTTCTATTAAAATTCTACTATACAAAATATGAATTTCAAAAATTAAAAAAAAATTTTCCTAAAAATTAATTTTTTAATTTAAATATTAGTAAAATAACTAAATGTAAATAAAAGCTGTTTTTCTGTTAATCTTTCAAAGATAAGTTATTGTAAGATTATAACGGTAAATAGGGTTCATTTACCGTTATTTAAAAAAAATGTGCTACTTTAAATGACATTTACTTTAAATTCATATAAAAATTCTAAAAATAACTAATATTTGTGTATATATTTACATACATAAAATACGTGTGTATTATAGGTCCTTTCGTACATGTAAAAATAATTACACAATAACTAATCAAATATAAAATGAATTTATAGATATTTGGGATACACTCATTAAAGGGAAAATGATTTAGATGAGAAAAAAAAACCTTTTTACAATCATTCGAACTATAATAAACTTTTGAAATATATTATAATCTTGTTACTTAGTTTATGATCCAGAGATGGCAGAGCCAGAGATGTGGATAAAAATTCTTATCTACAAAGGTGGTTATTTGTATTGGATTTCATTGAGTTACTTTAATGTTATACAACAGAGAAACG